AGGTAAGTGAATGCTCGAGCATGTTCTTCAAAGGATTTCTGCTCAATTTTTCATTAACGTTTCAGGGTTTTGTAGACTTAAAGCTCCTAAAAGGACAGCATACTGCGAAACGTGTGTGGTAACAGGTGGGGAAATAAAAAAGGTGAGATGGAGAAGTTCAGCGTAATTTAGTCCGTAGAAGAGTTGTCCGCTTTCAGGATAAGCGGTTCTGCAAACCAACGTTTGCTGCGTATCAGCCACATATTCGTGACTACTTAAAACTTAAGTGATGTTAGCACGATGCTCTTTATCAGCCCTAGAATACTTCATATAAATACATGAAGTCATGGGTAAATTTCTTGCAAAAGGGTTGAACAGTTATCGTTTACTTATTAATGGGGATCTGGCCCTCCGCAGTTTTTGACTCAGCTGCTCCAGTAAAGCGGTGTTGTACTATAGGCAGGATATCTACCCGTAAAAGACTTACGTTCACGTTTTATGTAACGTCTGTATTTATTTCTAATGTAACTTTATGCATCACGTCAATTTTCAGGTTCACCAGAGTGGATCTGGATGGTCTCCGGTGGTAAGTTGGTGCAGCTGTTTCAGAAAGTTTGCTGGGTTTGTTCAGGTTAGGCTCTGTCTTATAAAGTGAAAAACCGGTGAGGGAGGGGCAGAGGGTACTTCTGTTAATTCCTTTTCTAATGACGTCAATAGCCAGATCCTGTAGAATCCGGATATAGGCTGTATAGATCGGAGTGTTAAATTTGTTTTGTTCATCATAATAATACTACGTTTCTAAAATAGATTCGTTATTTTAAGTATCTCTTGTTTACTGGCTTTCCTACTATACTACGGGCAATAAATATGTTACTTGATTTCGTTGGTTTTGGTTATCATGCAGCTGTACAGTATGTCACCTTTTCCGTGACAGACAAGGGGTAACTGACACGCAGGAGAAATCTCATTAATCTGTAGAAAACGCAGGGAAAGTTTTGCAGGAGTGTTGGTTGTGTAAAGATCACCTTTAGTGTGTACGCTGTTAAAAAGGCAGCTTGGTGCTGAGAGGGAAAGCTGCTTTTATCCTTACGCTGTCTCCAGTGATTCCATAAACCACCGTAAATCTTAACGGCAACGAGATTTTTTTCAGTCTGTGAATGTAGCTGGTGAGCGTTGCACCAAAATTGCGGTTTTCGATGCCCTTTGATAAAAGAGAAGCGTAAGGTTCTCTGCCTTTATTTTCTTAATGTCTTCCCCCCACCTCCAGACTGCTTTTTCTGTAAAACCTGGGTTTAGAGTTGGTTTCTCTACTCTTTCTTTACTGTTCCATATGCTCTACTGAGATTCTCTACTTCTTTTTTAGTATGTTGAAGAAAACCTAGGTGTCATGTCTGTGGGGTTCTTGCTTAGTAGTCCTGATGATGCTGTCATCTGGAGAGGACCGAAAAAAAATGGTGTGTATCAAGTGTTTTCAACAACAATTTATGTACTTGAAAGATTTAGTATCATGAGCTTGTTTAATTAATAATGTAAATATAGTATAGTAAGGTATAGGAAAAAATGAGTGACTGGTTACTTATTTTCTTTAGTTGAGCGTATCCTTTGATGAAGTTAGAAGGTTAAATGCTGTATTGGGTTGGGTTTTTTTAAAGCCTTGGCAAAATAAGCATTTCTGTACTTAAGTTGACAAGTCAGAAGAATCTGCACAGCTAGACTATAAAATTTGAAGTAGACCCTCAAATTTAAAATATAGGGAGATACTTTTTTCTCTCGTCCACATTCTTATCTTTTCTTTCAGGGTTGATCAAACAATTTCTTCGTGACGTGGACTGGGGTGAAATCGACTACCTGATTGTAGATACGCCTCCAGGAACATCAGATGAACACTTATCTATCGTGCAGTACCTCAGTGCAGCGCACATAGATGGTGCTGTTATAATCACTACCCCTCAGGTATGAGAACTTAATTTCCATTGATAGAAGCATCGTGGCCGTTAAAGCCAATCCTTGGTTTAGAGTCTCTGTTTCACTTCAGAGAAATGACGGTCCAGAATCTGAGGGAGTTGACTTTCTTGTTTTGTGCCTGCAGCTGGATGGTTTATGAGTTAGGTGGGTGTCCCGGTGGAGTAGGGGATCTGAGTGGGTCACTAAACCACTGAGCAGTTCACAATCAAAAGCCGTCATGATCTGCGGGGTGAAGGGAAGTGCGGTATTTCACTTCCTTCTTCGAGATTAGAGTTCACATCACTGCCAATTTGTAATTTACTTGCTAACGGCTTAATGTTCAGAAGTCGGTAGGAGGTTTAGTTTTTAGGTGATAAGGCGTGCATTGTTTGACACCACGTGAAGTAGCCTGTTGCCTCTAGAAGGCAACTTTGAGATGTGTGTTTTTAAAAGAAAAATCAGGCCCTGGAGAGCTGAAACTCGGAATAAGTCAAATACAAACATAGGTTTTAAAGCCTGGTTTGGAAAGGAACGGAAGATCAAACTAGCCAGAGACACCTGGTATTTCCACAACAGCTGAAAGAATAAAATGTAAAGGACGTGAAATGCTGAGGGCGATATCAGATAGGTGGTGAGGGAAGGAGAAGGGAACGGGAGAACTGAATGAGGTCAGGCATATATGCAAAAAGTCTGAGAGCATGATAAGCTATTTGAAATCTAATTTGAAAAGAGAGAACAAGTGTAAGCCTGATGGTTCTTGTCCTTGCCTGCTCTGTTGAGAATGCCAGGGGTCTTTCTGCAAACTGAAAATGTGAAAAAGTTACATTTAAAGAACTAAAGATATGAGATAAAACATAAATATGGCTGAATCTTTACTAGAGTCAAGTCAGATTTCAAAATAGAACCACATTCGGTAGGCTAGAACCGTTGTACCTGTTCTGTTGCTACACACAGAATTGTTGCTAGAGCACATAACACAGGTTTACATTCTTCAAAATACAAAGAGAGCAGTAATGATTATGAACTTTCTTTAAAATAGCTCTAAGGATGTAACTTAATGGGTTCAGCATCAAAACATTACCGCCAAAATAGCAGTGTGTCCTCGTATTTGTAGGAAGTATCGCTTCAGGATGTTCGGAAGGAGATCAATTTCTGCCATAAAGTGAAACTGCCGATCATTGGGGTTGTGGAAAATATGAGTGGCTTTATATGTCCTAAGTGCAAGGTAAGGCTATCTGTATTTCACAGCATTTTTTATCTTGACATTGTTTGTATATAAAACATTGCTCCGAAAACACCTCGCTCTCCGAATTGCAGTATTTTAACTCTAATTTTCACGTTGTCCCAGAATGAATCTCAGATCTTTCCCCCGACTACTGGAGGGGCAGAGAAGATGTGCCAGAACCTAAATGTTTCCTTCCTGGGTAAAGTGCCCCTAGATCCTCAAATAGGTAAAGCTACTGTATTGCACTGCGTTTAAAACAAGTTTTTCCTCCTGTACTGTTGTTATTGCTGGAAACCCTGACTTGGACACTGGTAAATTAGATTAAACATTTTGTCTCTTAGGTAAATACCCACTTTTAGATAGAACATTTTTTTTGAATCAAAAGTTACTGGAACTGCAACATAGCATGGTGTGAAAAGAGGAAAGTGCTAGGATAATTTCCTTAGCCCGAAACTTAATCTTGATTAAGATTAGATTATGCGTCTTTTCAGCTGTATAATCATATTGAAGTACAGCATGTCTTTCTCTTTGGTGTAATCACCTGGAAGCACAGACCGAATAAAATCATAACCACTATGAAGAATAATATCTTGTAGATGTTAAGGATTAAAACTAGTGCTTTAACTTCACTGTGAGTGGCACCAGCCAGATTCCGTTGTGGAGAGGGAGATGGCTTGGTTCCTTGCCCGCTAGCGATTAGCAATTAATACTTGATTTAATGACTTCAAGGAACAGGTCAGTACTTCCAAAATAATGACTGAAGGTTTCTGCTAATGGTATTCCTTTGTAAAACCGTAAGCTGTAGTTGTAGTTCTATTACTGACATGAGGACTTCCTAAAAGGAACAGATGCGAATGGCTCTTTGGAGGGGTGTAACTGGTAGCGGGATAAAGGGTAAAATAAAGTTCCTCTTTTCCCCTTGCTTTCCTTTCATATTTTTCCCTGTCCTTCAAGGAAAAAGTTGTGACAAAGGCCAGTCTTTCTTGTCTGAAGCACCTGAGTCTCCAGCTACAACATCTTACAGGAATATCATTCAAAGTAAGTCTGAAAGTCACCGTGCAAATGAATCCTCTCGGTTCTGAGCACTTCTGCAATATATAAACGTGCTAAACAGAATTATGTTATTCTGCCACAAATAATAAAAATCGTAGATGTGCATGGCAATTATGAAGGTAACAGATGCAAATACTGAGTTCACTTCTGGGCATCAGTTGCGACAGCCTTTTAAAGCGATAACGAAATTGTATTTGGTAACTGGTTTCAATGTTTGGCTTCAGTCATTAATTTTCAGGAGAGAGGGGTGTGTACTTGCTCTCACAGAAAAGTTCTAAGATTCTCCAGCAGGCCTGTTGAGGGGTGCTCGCCGTAGCTGATAGGATACAGCTGGCTAATTACTGCCTCCACTTCTCATTGTAATTGCACAAAAAAGCCCATACAAAAACTACCTGAAGAGCTGGTGATGCGCAGTTTAAAAACACAAACAGCTGGGAGATTCCTAAAGCCATTTGCACTGTGATAAAGGCCCGACTTGAGATACTTGCACCAACGGGGATAGAGTGATGCGGCAATAACGAACTCCTGATGTGCAGCTGAAATGTTACTTCTATTACTTCTTCCCTGTCTTTGCAGGAATTCAGGAATACTGTGATCAACGCCATTTTCAAGAAGAAAAGATTATCTAATGTATGAATGGAATAAAAATGTAGTTCATGTTTAATTATAGAAAAGTAACTTATGCCTTGATTTAATAGAAGGAATGTATTCTTTTTGTATATTGCGAATAAATTCTTAATATAAATGTTCTTGCCTTTGGGCTTTTTCCATAGTTTGAGATTCTTGTAGTTCACCGGTGATCTCAAAGCTTGCTAGAAAACTATAAAACCAAGTCTTCATCTGTGTTACGTAGGCGCAATCTGCATCCGGTGTCATAGTACTAATAACCTGAATATGAAGTTGGCGTTTGAAGACGTGCGTATACAAGATGTTCTTTAGAAAGCTGAATACAAAATACGCTTTGCGGACATTGGGGCGTTGTGTCTAATGTATCTACTATGCACCCGTAGCAGGCTCTGGCCCACCTTCTGCGCTGGGATGAATTGCAATGCCCGCTCTCTTTCTTACTGAATAACATCATTTCAGTATCTTTCAGTGGAAAAGATCTATATTTAGAGTGAAACTCAGTGTAGTGTTGTCTCCTTTCTTTATAATTGGCATCAGTTTTAAAACAAAAACCTACTAGAGTTCAGGCAAGTTAATTATAGTACCAGTACAGTATTTTATTTATTACAGGTATCAGAATAACATATTTTAACTATTCACGCGTAACTGGCTGCTTCACACAAGTACAGTGTGGACATGCGATGTGACTTGTTCTTTCTTCTACTCAGCCCTGAGCCTGAACACTAAAAAATAAACATTCGGTATCTTTAATAACTAAGAGGCTCTTTGTGACTGTAATTCCTCTTTTTATTGAGGAATCAAAGCTTTGAGAAATCAGTATTGTGTACAAGAGGGAAAGGCAGTTTGACTTTGTTTATTGTAGTTGCAAAATTGAACAAATGAGCATCATCTTTTGATTACATTCTCATTCTTGGTTAAGATAATCCAACAGTTTCAGGTTAGTTGACAGATTTTTTTTTTTCTTAAAGGAGCGTGCTCTGTATAAACCGTAAGCATTGTTTTTCTGCCTATACAAACTGCTTTTTGATGAAACTTCTAAGTAAGAAAGGCTCTAAACCTGTCAGAATCTAAAGACTCAAACACAAATGACAAAATCCTTATTATTTCATGCAGGCATAATTCTAGAAGAGCTTTACTTAAATATCTTCATATGGAGAACGGCTTTCATAAATGCGTATTTTACTGCTCATCCTTGTTAGTGCTTCCTCATTTGATTATCTAGTGCCTGTCTTCCCGTGTTCTTCAATGCGGTCTTCTGAAATTCTCCTTGTCTGTCCTGTAGAATGAACACAGGAAGCGTGGCTGTTAGCATAACCTAGAACGCAGGACTCTTACCAAAAGCAGGGAAGAGCCTGGTGGAAGCCTGTGGGTTGAAGATAGCTCTCCCAGCTGTGCCTAGGCAGAGGCTTTGTAATACCTCAGAAGGCATCCCTCCCAGGATTTAACTTAGAGGACATTCTTCGTGGGGCTTGGAAGCGGCTCAGTTGTGAAGCTTCAGCAGGCTTCTGAACAGAGCGAAGTGACATGGGGCTCGGTCCCTCCGAGCGAGTTCCACAAGAGAGGCTTATTGGAGAAGCAAGATAGCCCTGCCAGGAGTTACTTTAGGAGCTAAGACCTGGGAAGAGCCAAAACCAACAGCATGAGGCAGGTCAGCGTGTGACACTTCATGGGCTGTAGCTGACAGACCAACTGCGTACTTACTCTTGGGAACATCTGCTGTGACAAAAAACCTTGAAGTTACTCTGCTGATGCTTTTTTGTCCCCCTAATTTGCAGTGGATGTAGCCATATAAATTAGCAGTCTGAAGGGAGATCCCAGCTATCACAAGAGCCTGCGGACAAACACAAGTTCAGCTGGGACAAATACACTGCTGTCTCGAGACTGTATGTGTAGAATATATACACACACGTGTGAGTGTATGTATGTATACATACTATTTAGATATACATAGCTGCTATAAAAGGGGGATATTCCTTCCAATAATAAATGACCTTCAAAGAGATCCAATCATGTCAAACCTAGACACAATAGTTCCTTTCTACAAAATGCCTCTCCTTTTATCAAAACAGATAGAAAATTTTTTTGTCATCCTGTATCTTGAAAGACTTCGTTACTTTCCTAAAAGCACGTATTCAAAAAAGGACTTATTCAACTGATTCTATAATCATTTCACTTTTTTTAAGCCTGATTTGTATCTAATAGTTTCGCATCCAGATACATAGCAAACTTGCCAGCTTGTAAAATTGACAAATGCCTTATTATATACAAATAAGATCCTGTAACTTACAGATTTACACAGAGCATCGATAGACATGAATCGATATCTAGCATTAACAGGCAGTGAAAATAATTAGATCTTTTTGTGGTAATATAGGCTTAGCAGCGGGCAGAACCCATCTGATTGACTAATGAAATCACTTACAAAAAATGTTTTTCTTAGTCTCAGAAAGAGTTTCCTGGAAGCTATTGTATTTTCATTTGTGTAACTCACCTTTTACAAGCACCTGAGCAACCTGCCTAGTGCTAGTTAGGGTTCCTTCTCCAAACAGCTCTTAGTTCAGCAAACAGTCTCTGGTGTTCAGAAATAAAGGTGGAGCCATGGAGAGAGACTGCTGGATAATTTTAACTATGGCTTGTTTAGCTATGCCATTTGGGGCACTAGAAAGTAGTTAATTACTTGCAATTGATTCATACCCACAGCTGAATTTCCCGTTTCATTTAATAATAAAATGTAATCTTGGCTGGTTATGTAGCTGCACATGTCCACGACAATTTTATCTTTTCAAACTGAATTAAGAAATTGTACTTAGCATGGCTAGAGCTTGACAAAATTATTTTTATGGTGATTATCGAAGCACCTAATGTTTACAGGGGAAAACACGAAGATTTCATAGACAAAAATATCTCAACGTAATGCAATATATGGGGTAAATTTCCTCTTGTATTTAGAAAAATGTGTGGTGTTTTTCTCTTTTTTTTTTGTAGAGTAGATGGCTTATAAATACAGTAATTATAAAATACATACTTACAGCTCAATTTATCAAGGTTTTAAGCACTATGATACTGGTTCTTTCAAAAGGGAATGGAACCAGAGATCTAAAATCCTTGCTTTTAAGAGCAAGTAACATTCAAGTCCCAAGGATATGTGAAAACCTGAAAACCAGCATCACTGGTTCATTTTTTGTCCTCTCCTATTAGTTCCCTTTGACTGAAATAAGTTGGGGAAAAGTATGTTGCTACAGTTAAAAAGAAGTCCATAATTTTGCCAACCACTTAAGGTTCTCAAGTTAGATGAAGGACTTGACATCCGATAACCTAGTAGAAGTGGGGCTAAAAAGTACTAATCCGTTCCAGAGCACAGGGCTCGACTGCTGGAAACTCCTCTGATTTGTTGAAGCTGTTAGTGGAATTTTTGTCCTGTTGGAAAATTTGGTTCAAAGACTGTTGCAAACCTAACAGATCTGGGTTTTCCCTCTACTAACACTGTCTGTCAGCCGTAGGTCTTTCAGTACCCCCAGACTTACCAGCCATTTCAGCTTCAAGGAGAACAAGGTGCTAAAGAAAAACACTGTCCAAATAACTGGACAGATAATGAGACCAAGCCAAAAGATTCGAGCTTCAGCTTCAGTGGAGGCAGCTATTGTAGGCACCTAGAAGGAAAATTATTGAAACTAATAGTCACAAAGACAAAATCCTCAATAAATAACAAATCAGCAGAGGAAGAGCAACGGACAAAATTACTTCTTTACCTAAATTTCACTTACATGCATGGAAGGAAGATTGAATAAGAAGAGAAGTAGTTTTCTGCTTGCTGCCCTACTGTACATGACAGCATTTTCTTTTCAAAATGTCCTCGTCTCTCTTCACATTTAAATGAGATAATTATTCTTTTTGTCAATGACAGCTCCCACTAACACTACAGATTAGTAGTATTTTAAAAATCAAAGTTCTGTTACACTGACGATTGCTTTTGAAGTTCAGAAATACTAAGTTAACTTTGAAATTAGATTCAAACTTTACCAAGGCCTTAGAGAAGCGTGAAACAGAAGACAGTGTTACAAGCAGAACTTTAGCGTGAGTACTTCACTGTCTGTAGTGTAGATTCGTGACATGTGCCCTGTTCACAAATCAAAAGTATGGGCAAAAAAATCAGTCCAGAATCGGAAAAGCTATAGTATCTGATGTGGAAATTGCAATGAGCTGTTGCAAGTGCTAACAAGCAAACTTTAAAGATCCCCCATAGGATTTATCAGTTGGTTCCAGTTCAGGCAATAGAATTCTCACAACAGTGCCCATTTCCATACATTTTCCTAAAAACATGCAGTATCTTAGCTTAATTTAAATCTTGCGTGAAGCTTAGTTTTCTATTATGTAAACTAATACTTCGATTTTGTTTATGAAGTTCACTGATATTCCATAAATTAAGAACTGTAGCTTCAAAAATGCCTCTTCTCTAATACTAGTGCTGGACACGGTAGCAACTGCTGGCATCTCCCTGAAAGAAGCATCGTTATTCACAGTGCTCTATTCGTGTTCTTCAGGGAGAGCAAAAAACCTCAAAGCAGGCTGCAAAAAGCCCTGGTTGAAGATTTCCTCAGGGCAGCACAACTCATGTGTCTCTATCTACACTGAAAGGCTCATTGTTAACTCCCAACACTTAAAAGAAACTAAAGAAAGAGAATCGTTCAGAAGGTTCTGATCTTTCCTAGGAGACCAGAATTCAAAATCTCACTCCAAACCTCAGACCACTCAACCACCACTAGTGCTAGCTTCTGAAATACAAGCTTCACAAGTAGAAAAGAAAACCCTGTGGGCTCTTCCACTCTGAAAACTGAAAAGCCTTTAAGTTCATTTTCAGTATCTTGAATTCTCCATGTAAAAATAAGACTCATCTGTCCATCCATCATGAGGCAGACAATGGTATCCAACTTGTAAATACAGTTAAGTTACTCTATCTGGCCTAAGAAAACCCTACAAGATGCAATAATTACAAGCTGTCTTTAATTTTTTCATGTACCTTCTAAACCAGTGATCTTGCAGAGGTCCAGAGAATAATGTTCTATGCCTTCATAGTTAGAGAAAAAGACAGATGTTCTGAGTCAATAACAGGGTTTAATCACCTGTATCCCAAATTACTGACAAATTACCCAACAGTGACACTGCATTAGCACTAACTATTTAGGAGGAAAAAAGTCAATACACCTGAGAACACTGCACCTAAAAGACCTAGTTAACTTGATGAGCAAGATTACAAAAGGCTGCAGTCATCCCAAGGAAAGGAGAAGAGAGTTGTGATGTTTGGAATGTAAATGTAAGAATTACTTTTCTTAGAGTAAACCTCGGCAGAAGATAGGATTTCAAGGGCGAAGCTCTGTTGCATCAGCAGCACACCAGGAATTTGCTGCTTATTGTTGGTAAGTGACTTGGAATATTTCTAAGCATGTTCACCCATAAAGGAAGAGATCTTAAAAAGCTGCCAGAAGACTAGCAAAGGAGGCAGGGAGTGCCTGACTCTGGAAAGTAAGAGAGTCGCGTGTATTCCAGGACCTTGCCATGACAAAGTGTTTCTCATGGATAAGCCATGACAAAAAAACAGTTCACTCTAATTACATGTTCTTTCTTGTGGTACTATGATTTTCACATTAATCAAGCTACCATTTGCCAGAACTTTTGGAAGGCTTTAGCCCACGCAGATGAGTCAGCTTTGTACTTCTAGGCTAGAATTAACAAACTGTAATAGGTGAACTAGGCTTGCTCATTTCACAGCAACTTTGAGGTCAGGAGGTCATTTTATGGATGCCATTGCTTTTAAGTGCTAAGAAAGCTCTTGCTTACTGTCTCAACTTGACGGAACTAAGAAACTCTGAAGGTCTTTTAGTTTCTTTGATTTCATGCAGGCTTGCCTATATTCTCTCTTTAGGTTTCACTTAGACTACAGGAAGAACGTTAACATCTGTCATCCTCTTAACGGTGTGCAGCCCTACTCTGCCGGTTGTGCTCCTGCTTGGCTGCATTCTCATTGCAAATGGCCGCAGGGCTGCTAGAGGGCACTCCACACCCATGCACTCAGAGTATTTTACATGGCTCGGTACCCGGGCTGTGTGCACAGCTGGATTTGCTTGAAAGGAATGTCCTAGTGAGTAGCACTTGAAGCAGCATTCTGCCAGGCTCTTGCCTGAATGAGGCTGTGGAGAGAATGTTAGCAAGCGAAAGCAAAAACCTACAGTCTTGGCTCTGGCAGCAATGCCAAGGGCTGTTTTATAGCTTTTTTGCTCCGGGTGTTTGGGGGAGCACTAGCAGTATCAGAATGCTCTGTGATCCAGGTTCTCTTCCCCACCGTACTCCATGAGCATGGTTCTAGAGGAGGGCCACGGAGATGATCAGTGTTGGAGCACCTCTCCTATGAAGACAGGCTGAGAGTTGGGGTTGTTCAGCCTGGAGAAGAGAAGGCTCTGGGGAGACCTTCTAGCAGCCTTCCAGTACCTGAAGGGGTCCTGCAAGAAAGCTGGAGAGGAACTTTTTACAAGGACATGTAGCAATAGGACAAGGGGTGATGGCTTTAAACTGCAAGAGGGTAGATTTAGATTAGATATAAGGAAAAAATTGTTCCCTATGAGGGTGGTGAGGCACTGGAACAGTTTGCCCAGAGAAGTTGTGGATGCCTCTTCCCTGGAAGTGTTCAAGGCCAGGTTGGACAGGGCTTTGAGCAACCTGGTCTAGTGGAAGGTGTCCCTGCCCATGGCAGGGGGGTTGGAACTAGATGATCTTTAAGGTCCCTTCCAACCCAAACCATTCTATGATTCTAAAACATTCTTTTTAAAATACTGAATTGGAACTACTCAGCATTGCTTTCAACATAGATCCTTCCTGAGGAGGACTCTGCATTGAGATTAACTATGGGAAGATATATTTATTACAAGATGTTCTCACTAGAAAATAAAATAGAACTACCAGAAATGTTTCATACCACTAGTATCATGCTATGGATATTTATTCTGCTGATGCATATGATGACAATGTTGTGAGACCAGTTTTGTTCTGAATGCTTCTAGAGGATGTGACAGTCTGGTGTGCTTGCAACTGAATACTTACCTTTTATCCAGCTTCTATAGAAGATAATGTAACTGTTACAAAGGTGCTCTATTTGTTACTTTATTTGACTTAGGAAAGCTTGCAAAGCTGATACTATGGATTCTGTTTGTCCTGTGCCTACTTTTATTAACATACTTACCCTTTTTGCTTCAAACACCCAGTGGCTTTTTCCATCTTCATCAATCTGGTTCCACCAACGCAAACCAACCAAGAGTCTTCCCGTCACATTCTAGTGACAGAGACAATTATTTGCATTAATCAGTTGCATAATTCACTTGTCAGACTAACATTTAAAAAAAACCAAAAAACAAGCATGTCTGAAAATCATATTCTTTTATCAAATATTAAAATTAGTTCTAAAATCTGTGCCAGCTTGAACACAACAGTCATTAAGGATGGATGAGTTACCACAAATTTAGAGGCCGGTTCTCCTCTTCTAATATGATAATTAGCAAAATAACATTAATTTAGGCAAGAAATTATAGGATGTATCTTTTCTAAGTCAGTTAGTTGAAGCCCCCAATAAACAAATTTCCTCGGTAAGAGAGGAGAACTGCGAACAAAAATACACTGAAGAAATGGAAGATTAATTACAAGCAAGTAAGCTGCATGGAATCAAGCAAACAAATTAAGAAAATATTTCTGCACCTGGATGAATAGTAGAAGTTTTCAGTATACTGGAGATGCATCAATGCTTCACTTCTACAAAACAAAAGCCTTGTTCCACATGTGGAAGGCCTGACCCACCTGCCTGTACGTGATTAGGGCACCGGTGCCATAGCTGAGCTCCCAGGAGCCTTCTGCAGCTCCTGCGTGCTGGATCTGGGCACAGTATCGCAGCTTTGGACACCCTTTGGCATCCATTACTGAAAGCCAGTATTACTTTATTTCTTTTTTTTTTAAGGGGAAAATCATACAAACAAATCTACCTATGACAAGGCAATTTTCTCACCATATTAGTAGCTCCCATTAGGCATAGAGAACATGGTGATAAACAGTAACCAAGATATGTAAATGTCTTAATTAAAATGGGCTAGACATTTAAGATATCAACAGATCACAATGGTTTTGTCACTTTTTGTCAGTATACATATTTCCTTTCTTGTTTTATTTAATGGCACACAAAATACTTTCAAAGGTAATTACTATTCAGGGTCATCTTACCTTAACTGACCAGAAGTCAAAGGATAGAAGGAGGAGAATAGTGACAAAACAGGCAACAAAGCTGTTGCTGAACCAGTCACAGAACAAGTAGGTAATAATAGCACTCACTCGGAAAAACAGGTGGAAAAAGGTGGCCAGTGGGTACCTGGAAAAAAAAACACAGAGCACTTATGAAGTTATGGGACAAGAAGGAATGTTACAGTATTTGCTAGCAATGTAGTATAACACAACTATTTCTAGTCTATAATGGTATTTTGGTTTGTAGCTGCTATTATTTCATATGTTGATGTATATATTAATTATCAAAGCAATAGTATTTCCAATAGCCAACCTTCAATCTAAAGCTGAAAGATGGAATGTGTTGTTCATGTCAAAACTTTCTCAGATAGAACAAAATCTAGAGTCTTTCACCAGTTTCTCTGGTACTGCATGAAGGAAACTTAGTGGTTGTGTTCAACACTGTACCCTAAAATCCTCATCGTTTCATGAAATAAATCAGCATTGCAAGGCACAAAAGAATTGAGACAGATCTTACGCCTTTCAGAACTGTTTTGAAAACAAGAACAGAAACCCTGAGACTAAAAAATTAAAGTAAAAATAATATAGCTGTTGGGTATAAGACAAAATGAACCTTCATACGTTACGTCTGAAACCAAACACTTCCTTTTACAGAGGGAGTACGATCTGGAAATCTCTCAGTTCTTATGAATGAATGTTCATTAATTTCACTACATATTTGTGCTTTGCTCATCAAACAAAATTTTGTCTGTAACAAAGGGGAATTTCAGTGGAAGAAGTAACTATACGGCATGGAATATCGGCCTGTACAGTAAGACAAGGGGTTTGGAGAATGCTATAACAAGCACAGTACAATTTTCAGCGTAATATGACAAGCACAAAAACTTATTCTGTATAGTTGTGTTTGTGTTAATTAGTTTAAAGTGACAATTAACTAGAGGCTATTGCATTTAAGTAACCTCTTCCCTTGAAGCTGAGTGAATAAAACTTGTTTTCTGAATAAGATGGGGTTTAAGTGAGTGATTGTCTCATTAAGCTCCTCTACCTCTGTAAATAATTAACAGTAGTATGGCCTAGGTCATAATTAACGATTCAGCTATAAAATGTGTTATTCTATTATTGTGTATAATAAAACTATACATAAAATATATACACAATTAAAATTGTTATGAACTTAAATTATAATTAGATTTATAGTTATTATACTTATATCTTTATTGTAATATTATAATTCTATAGCTGTTCAACTGTTCTAGTAATTATCTATTCTATAATGGCAATATTGTTCTTGTAGTACTACACACATGACTGGAGAAGCAAGAATGATGCACAGCTGTAGCTTATATTTACTCCTGATCATGCCCATGCTAACCTCAAACTTTCCAAAAGCTGCTTCTGACTTAAAACTAAACATGTGACATTTTAAGTGAAAGGCGCTTTTTCTGCCATAAGCAGACGGGTGGGTGGGTTGGTGGAGCGGAGGGGATGTTGTGAACTGTCAAAAACAGATAGTGTCTTGCTACTTCAAGTCTTGATCTCATTCAAGAAGATGTAAGAGCTCATTGCATAAGTGGTACCTTGTGTCAATATAAGCTATTCATAGATCACAACCCTAAAGCGCATCGGGGTAGACCGAGCCTTTACAACTATATCAGTGCTTCAAATGTGAAAGTAACTTTGGAGAAGTAGTGTTTCCTTTTGGAAGTCAGATGATGAACTACTGTTTGGATGCTGACTCTATTCCAATATCAAACTTTGAAGGGTGTCTACTAAAAAAACAGTATATGAGCAAGAGGCTCACATTTATTACAGCGCTAAACACTTTATTGCCACTATGGAGTATCAGTCCTCTCACAAGGATATGGCTAGCCAAGCCAAAGACAAGGACTTGTGGGTTCTTGTCCTAGGGGAGGAATATGGAGATATAGCAAAACTTGCACCTCATTCTTTGGACAACTATCTCAATCTCAGAAAATGTCCAACCTATTTATGCTTTAAAAAAAAAAATCCTGAAACTAATGGAATCCAGTAAATAAACTGTTCATTTCCTCACTTAACAGAACAAATGTGTTTTCTTAATTCACAGCCATCAGATGAAACTTACAGCTCCTATCATATACAAACAGAATTTTTAATAAGGAGCTAATCCCAGATAGATAAAATTGTCTTTTAAAACCTGAAGCTAATCCTTTTTGAAACAAAAAATTTACCAGCTTTTCTTAAGTGAATGCATTTATACTTGGTGACATGACATGATTTCATGCATTTATTACATGCATGAAATCAATTATACTTTATAAGATTTTTTTTAAAAGCTAATTTCCAGAAATATGATGGCATTAAGAAATCATTGTATAAACTAACATGATTTATTGTACTAATGACAGTATAGGCTTTAAAACATGATAACTTTTTTTTTCCCCATTCAAATCCAATAAAGGATAAAGGTAACTAAAACTCTGCACTGGCTCTGCTTGGCATACATTTGCTCCTGAAAGCATAGCAACCCACTTGCTTGGACCTTTAGTTACCCTGTTGCATCTAAACACCCATATCGTGTAGAACTGGAGCCTTGAGGCTAAATGATTACCATTTACCTCATTACAATAACCTCCATTCAGTTTGCAAGCACGATGCCTATTAGGATAGGAATGAGCTGTTATGAATTTAGTTGCATCCCATATTAAGGAATCAAATTGGGTCAACCCTAAGGTATACCACTGAACCACAGGAGAATCATTCCCAGTACCTGCTCAGAAGCGCCATGGCAGCAGTCTACATGCTGCTTTTTATATCTCTGGTACTTCAAACATATCTAGGCAAATTTTGAACAAACAGGCTCTTTGGCTTGATCACCCTGTGTTACCTGGCTGATTTGAAAAAGAAGCAATCATACGCTCCTACCTGTTCCAGACCAAATGTTCTGACACTGCAATGAACTGCAAAGATGGTGTAAGTTATCTCTTTTCCTAGCCTTCTTATGAAAGTAGCCACTAACTAAATCACTATCCGCATACCTTTTGCTTTTAAGGAGCAATTGCATATACCTTGGAGAATCACAAAAGCACAATTTGTCATAGCTTATGCAAATTCTAACCAAGTTAAAGATATGAGATTGGGATAAAGTTAAAGACAGATGATTAGAACATGTTGTTATGCTCTCTAATAAGACAAGAAAACTTTGCAGCACATGGGTGTGTTCCAGGCTTGTTTGCACAATATTCTTCAGAAATATAAAAACAACTTCTGTGTGAACAATGTAAGGAGTTTCATTTCTGTATTCTATAGCAGAAGATTTTTCAGTATGAGATTATGTTTTAGTATTGTCAGAATGAGGGCAAGAAAAAACAGTCTCTAATGAAATAAGTATCTACACAAAGTGGATCAATTAATAGTATGGTTTACTGATACTTTGCCTGTCTATGTTATCAGGTAGCATGAACCTGTAGGAACAGATCTCTAGAGTAAAGCAACTGGTGCTGTGGACCTCCTACAAACATTTCAGGGTGGTTTCACTTTATGCTAACTCTAGTCTGGTCCCATAGACTGAATGTGTGGCTTGCGTGCTCAAGACACTCCTATGCTGTATTTCCCAGTTTAGTTTAATCATTTAGGCCATGTTTTCCAAGACTGTACCAAAATATAAACCTTCATTTGAAACATGCTGCTGCTAAGGCACAGAATCAAAGCAGCTCTGGCAATGTTATCTTGTGTCATGGCTGACTCATCATGTAATTGCAAAGTCCGATGTGCTGGAAGGGCAGAAATGCTTCACCAAACACTAGTAAAACAGAGTAATTGTATTATAAAGCTATGTGATTGCTTGTTTGCACATCTCAGATAATGTTTGTGTTAAGCCTAACATCTCTTACTTTTCTTTGTTTACTCCTACAAGAAACATTAACATTGTAATGGACCAGAGTAAACTTGGGCAAGGTGAAAGGGAAGAAAGCAATATAAATCAAAGCTGATTATATACATTATTATTGATGAGTGCATACATATGTATAATTCATTTTGACATAAAACTTCTCCCTTGACAGTCTTTGACAGGAGATTCTTCAAAAGCCACTGATGGAACAACAGCTCTGTTGCCTGGGACCTCGGTGTGGACAGAGCTGCAGAGTGACACCTCTGGTAACGTAACGGTAGACTGCTTAACCTGACAGATGAGGTGGATCAATGGGTTGGGTTTCCTTAGGTAACAGCTACAAGGTAAGATATACTATATTCCACATAACATCACATCCCGTGGTAGGAAAACATGACAGTTTTATTGCAAATAACTTGCTGTTTCCCTTCAGCCAGGTGTGCAATGCAACAGCAGAGCACTCTGCTGCACAACTTGTTTTGCTGAAGATGAAAGCGCTCTCCACCTCTCCAGCTCTAACAAAAATACTGTTTGGTTGGGTTGGAATTTTTTGTGATTATGTTGGCTTTGGGTATGTAAAATTTCTGTTTCCAATGGCAGGATGACACTGAGCCTGCCAAGCAGTCGGGCTCGCAGCAGCGGTGCGGCTGG